CTTAATAGTTATTTAATAGGGTAATGATACATACACCTACTGATTCGACACCCAATGGGTGCACACCCTATAAAATAAATATTTCCCCCAATAGCATTAAGCCTCTAGCATCCACGAACTTGGGCTTATATATGTATCCCAACAGATTGCAACCCTAAGCCTTGACTCTCTAATTCATCATCATCCATTCTGATGTACCACCGTCCTTTCCTAGTTGGATTGGTGCAAGATAAACGATGGGTGGAAGAAAGGGTGCAGTGGAGTCCATGGAGATTCATCATCACGCTGCGACTTCCTACAAATAAAAGATGATTGATTGCTGGGCTTCTCAGGTGAGAAGTTAAGTTATTGGTGTGAAAATCAATTTCAAACTGTAGGGTTTTGGGAAGCATTGTGACCTCAATGCTGAATCGTTGATGATTGAAAACAGGTGTGCAACAGTGGGTTGTAATGGTGAATAACAGGTGGGTAATTTATTTGGAATTTCCACTGCACTGGTTAGATTATGCAAACGAATTTGTCTTATATAGTTAAATGTTTTGTAGTGTTTCGATTGGGAATTATGGAAGGTGCGAAGTGATGGGTGGCGCAATCAACCACGAAGAAAGGGTCTATAAGTTGCAGGTTAGCATGACCCTACTAAAGTATCCTTTTACATCATTTTAGGGCAGAAAGATTGATGTGGTATTTTTTTTATTCAAATTAATTATATGATTGATGTAGTATATTGCTATTGAAATCAATATATGTAATGTGCATCACCTTTGATCGTTATGTGATGAATAGAATCCTAAAAACATGGGTCAATTAGTGAAATTGTGTGAAGAACAGAGTCATAAAAGCATGGGTCAATTAGTTAAAGATGGTTATGACTGTCGAGATTAGACCTGGTAATTTTTTACCCAACTCGTTAACCCGCCTGTTACCAACCCGTTTAAAATGGGTTAGGGTTAGATGTTCACGACCCGTGACCCGTTAATAACCCGTTAACAGAACCCGACGGGTAATGGGTCAATAACGGGTTGACCCAATGGGTTAACAGGCTTGACCCATTTACCTATCTGAAAAGTAAATATTTTTTAATTTATTATTTATATATTTTATTTCCTAATTTTCAAATCTCAATCTCACCTAAATCCCTAATAAA